TCCCCCCCACACCAATTGCCAAATCTTCTTTCAGAGCTCAGAGCTAGCTGCAGAAGTGACAATTTAGTATGTGTAAAACGATGTCCGCCAAAAAAAGGAGTTTAAAAGGATTTTCATGTTCACTACAGGAATATCAGGAGCTTCAGAGATAATTTGCTGGACATAACTTACATATCTCCTTTGGGGCACCAAGTGTTCTCACACTTAAATTTAATGGCCCTCTCCACAATTCAGTATGTCTAATCTACCTAATATATGTAGTAAAAACTGTAGGCAAAGTGAGAAAGATGTATGGAACCACACCAGATACGACGTTGGCACATGCAATCTATAAGCTCGGAGTCAAGGTTTTAACACGGAATATCTTAAGATGTTGGACAAGCTCCACGACAAATGCCTCTGAGATGGCGTCTCTCTAAGACTTTGGTTCAGAGAGACTTGGATGTTCAAGATATAGCTGGATGCCTAGAGGTTCACTACTCATGGACTTAATGGGAGTTATAAGAGGTGCTTGCTGCCACTGCTGGGTATCTGTTGGGACCCAAATTTCGGCGTCTTTGCTTGTACTAATCTGCGGGATAGTCCGAAAGTAAGCTGTTATCTCCCAGCTGCAATCTGTCAAAAGCTGACAAGTTGAGGAACCCACTTCTAATTCCCACAAAGGCAAATCGCAAAAGCCAAAGGACGATATATCTATTCATGGATAAACAAAAAGATTTTTTCATCTTTTCAATCATGTATTGTCCTATGATGAGATTAACTACGAAATATTTGCTACAATACAAAACCATTTGCCACACACACCCCTGTTCAACAAAATATTCGTTGGCCATGAAGTCCATCATGTAGGGGTCTTTGAAATAGTGTTTTGTCAATTCAAAGTGTTGGTACAGTAGAAATCAATTTGTACATAAGACATGATATAGAATCAGATTCGGCCATCAGATTCACATTGCTGTAGATGCTAGCATAGTGTATGATTCTTGCATACTATCCGGCTAAAGAAATTCAATTAAGTTCGCTTAAGTGGGATATCATATGTATAAGGGGTTGCTCTCCGTTAACATTTTTCATTTACCTTATAAGCTCCTTTTCACTTGTCTACTCTATTTTGCTAAAATAATTCATAAGGTTGCTAGAGTTGGATGTCACAGGGATAATATGTCACCTAAAATGATCAATTCAGCACAAAGGTTCTATAGCTTTAACCTCCCTTTCCCTTGGATACTTAGTCTTGAGCACATCTAGTAAATACAAACACACTAATTTAATGTGATTAGAAGAAGATCTGAAGTGACGTTTTAAATGAAGTTTCTAATAGAGGTTACCTGGTGGAAGAACTTTCATCATTGATTGTGACAAAGGAAGCTTGATCAAAAATGATTTAAGAGAGAACTCCAGATCAGCTTCCTCCAACTTCAAACCATATGACTGGTTCACATTTATCTTGAAAACAAATCTCTCAAGAGGTACGTTGTTGCTATCAGAAAAAATCACAGCCACTCTCTCAACCAATCCCTGTGTAGAAAAGCATGATTACTTCTGTACAACGAAGACGGCACAAGAATAACAGCTTATAGACCAATCTCTCACTTCCCTTGTAAAAGCAATAAGATTTTTCCAACAAACAAGATCAAACAATTGTTATAAGTTCAAGCACACAACAAAATGTTCCTCTGTTACAGACACCTGAGCGAAAACATGGGGCAAGGTCGGGAGAGGAGGGGGGAAGTTGGAAATATCTATTTACACATTTAGCCATCTCCAGTAACCAAGATGAGCAATTAATCAATGACTTTTATGGGCCTGTTGAAGGGGAATGGAATAAACCTTTTGTATGAAAGGAAGAAGTCCATTGACA